CTGTTAGTGTAAAAAAAAATTTAGATATATCCCCAACTGTTAAGATGCAGCCGTTTCCAATCCTTAACATGATTATCATTTAACATACTATCCTCGCCTTGATGTTTTCCTGCAGCACTAAAGTCAATCGGATTTCCAAATTCAAAAAGAATATCCCACCCCACACTCAAGCCCCTTATGAACCTTCACAGGAAAGCGATGCTCATCTAGGAAGCTGGGGAACCAGTTACCTACAAAATATACCTCCCAGGACATGCTACTACAGATCAGTCCCAATACTTAGGAGGTTTTGCCTTTACAGTATGATGAGTCATTATTTTAAATTTGCAACATCTGTGTTGATAAATGGTTTTTTTATTCATAACAAATTCTGGGAAGCTGTCCCTAATTGAACTTCCCTCCTCTGGGTTAGGAGGCCTCTAGTAGTGTTGCTCGTCTTATCTTGTAACAGCTAAGATTAATTATTTTCAAGTGAGATTTGGAATTACTATTTTACAGTCAACAACAAATGCCGGAGGCCAAGGCAGGAGGATCACTTCAGGTAAGGAGTTTGAGACCAGCCTGAGCAAAAGTGAGACCCAGTCTCTACTAACAATAGAAAAAAATTACTGGTCCTTGATACCCCTGGGAGGAAAAAAAAAAAACCAAACAGAAAAAATTAGGTGGGCATGGTATTGTGCACGTTATTTGGGAGGCTGAGGCAGGAGGATCACTTGAGCCCAGGAGTTTAAGGTTTCTGTTAGCTGGGCTGATGCCACAGCACTCTAGCCCAGGCAATAGAGGAGACTCTTGTCTCAAAAACAAAACAAAACAAAACAAAAATGCAACGAATGCCAATTTGAACACACTGGGTTACTACAAATCATATCACCAGCATCATGCTGAGGACATTATTAATGGGCACAGAATTGTAGTACAATCGCTAAATGCTGAACAAGAATACTGAACCCAATTTTTATTTATTTAGGAATTACATATCCATTGAATTCTTTCCCTTAAAATGAAAGGAATATATATACCACCCTCTTATTTAACAGATTCAAGAGCCAAGAGTTATCTTTCAAGCTTTTATTTAAGTGCAATGATCCAGGATGGATTTTAGATCTTGTTGAAAGCAGCCACGTCCATGGACTGCACGTAGTCCTCAAAAGCAGTGATCTGCTCCTCTAGCATATCAGTTCCAACTTTATCATCTTCAACAACACACTGTATTTGAAGTTTTTTAATTCCATATCCCACTGGAACTAGTTTAGCTAAAAAGAACATTAAGAAAAATCTTAGTTAGAAAAGTCCTGGCAAAGGTTAAAACTGCATGCAAGTTCCAGATGTCAGTTTCAAAAAAGCAAAGACTAAACTCACAGGAGCCCCAGACCAAGCCGTCTGCTTGAATGCTTCTGACGCACTCCTCTAATTTTGCCATATCTGTCTCATCATCCCAAGGTTTCACATCTAATAAGATGGAAGACTTGGCAACAAGTGCAGGTTCTAAAAAGAAAAAGAAACAGCATTGTTCAAATACCAAATTATATTTTTTCACTCTACTCCAAGACACTTAAATCTTAATTTAAAAATGTACCATCTCCTTAGCCAAACAAAACTGCAGAATACATCTTGTGTCTGTCACACATATAACCACTTTCTGCTTTGCTAAGAAAGAGGTGTTTAACTGTGTTAACAGTTTCTTTCCCACAGAGGAATGCCACAACTGCTACATAAGAACAGCTGCAGACCAGTAGCTGTGGAAGTTTTATGAAGAACCTCCATGGAACGTCTTAAAATACCTATTTCAATCAATGTGGAGGAAATTACTTTAGGCTTACATTTTGAAGAAGATTACTCTCATTATTATTAAAGGAAGTTAACCACAAATTATAAAATGACCTACTTTTGGCTTTCTTTGATTCATATTGTGCAAGGCGTTCTTCCCTCAGTCTCTTTGCTTCTTCGCTTTCCTGTAAAGAAAAAATTTAATACACTTCACAAAGCTGGTTGTTCCTCTGCTTAAAGCTAATGGGGTCATCACAAAAAGATCAGCTTTATCAGAAAAAAGCAAATCCATCACGAGCTCAGCCGAAAGATGGTGATTTGATTTTATTCATCACAGAACCAGTGAGAATGTTTAAAAGGCAGATGAAAGTGAAGCCAGGATTCAAATTCAGCCAATTTGGCTACGGAATCCATCCTTACACAATGATATACTGCCTACCAATTTATTCTCTTACGCAAGATGCCATACCTCCTCATCATCAGATCCAAAGAGATCAATGTCATCATCATCTTTACTATCTGTAGCTCCGTTTCCTGTAGTGTCTTCCACATTAGCAGGGCCATACTTGCCCAAAGCTTTCTTCACTCCTGGCAAGCTTGAAAAAAATTTAAATTCAACCACTATTAGGTTGGTATAATGTCCTTTCCTAGATAACACACAAGTCAAGTTTCTATTTATCACTAGTTCCCTTTTGTAGTAATGATTACACTTTAACACACTCCCAGGTAAATATATGTTCAACTCCTCACCCAACAAACATTAGTACCATGTGACATTATATTCAATACTCACTATGATTTACTCTTTCAGTATGAACATTTCTGTTTGAGATTTCATTAAGTATGCTCAGTTCCATTCTTAGTGAACTCGAGTCCACTTCCCCAAACTTCCACCCTTGTTGGCTGTTTCAGAAGAATGGCCAAGGACTGAATGAATGAGCCACCCTCTCACCCCAGAGGTGGCCCCCCCAGGTCAGGGTCGAGGCACATTGGCAGGGCAGTGTGGGGAAAAGTTGAATTGCTGTTGTCCATGTTCTACCTGTTCTGTGAAAAAATGGAGGACTTCAGTCTCTTGGCCTTCTAAGACCACAAAGAAATTTAGCTTACAACATCCCAAAACTAAAGCAGGCTGGGTCCAATTTTGTCATGTGAAAATCGTGATAAAGCGTGAACAGCAGTCTTATTCTTCAGATAGATACAAACATAATTTTACCTGGCCTTTTCTTTTTCATAAGATTTGATGTGATTATACCAACGTAGGGCATGACACAAGTCGGCGGGCGGTGGGCCAGAGACTGCTTCAAATACTGCCACATCTGCTTGTGATGGCACATACCTGCGGAAGACACAAATAGAATTACGTACGCCTTTAAAAACCACTAGCAAATAAATGACAAGCGCTATACCCATCGCATTCATGAGTGGGAACTAGCCACGGTAGGGTTACCTAAGTTGCTTTACTTTTTTGCATAAGCTCCTTAAAATCAGAGACCATCTGTTTGGGTCGCCGAGCTATTCTGAGGAGTGTCTGCCACTCTGTAGACCTCAACGATTGCAATCTCTACCGTAGCTCTACCTACAGGATAACACTTATTAACTAGGCGACAACGTGGAAAAACCTGGTTGAATAAAGTCTAAGCGGAAATAAAGCACATTTTAACCCTTCTCTCCTCATAGGCCACTTCCCAGAGGCCAGGCTCGCACCGCACCGGGCCTCTGGGGGTAGAAAAGCGGCGCTTTCCACCTCGAGGGCCCTGGGGCCCGACCTCCTTCCCTCCTGTGGCGGCAGAGACTGCGCCACGTGGCCCCGGCCCGGGAAGTTCCCTTGCCGCCCCGTCCCGTCCGCTCACCCCTCGATGTAGCTCTTGTCCGCCAGGTAATCGTTGAGCACCTGGAGGCCGGCGGGGCTTTTCAAGTCTCCGAAACCCATGGCACCGGCTGTATGCTAGAGCGGGGCAGCAGCGGCAAAAAAGAGCGCAACCGGACGGCGCAAGGCGCTAAAAGAGGAAAAGGGGCGCGGGCAGGCCGGAAAATTCCTTATATAGACACGGAGGCGTTCCCCTCCACCGCACCCGGCCGAAGGTTAAAGGTCAAAGTACGTTCGCATTCTCATTCCTCCACGTACAAACTGGGGGGCTCTGAATTAAATGGCCCACAGATTGTTCCTGGGCCTTTCGTTGTGTTTGGGAATAAATTAAAAAAGGGGGCATTTCTTAAACTCGTACCTCCGCGGCTTCCGAAGATGACAGGAACCGCCCCTTGAAGCGCCGGAGATGACCGAAGACGCTCGCCCTTAGGGCTCCTGGTCATTTCCGGCGGAACTGCGGGTCCAAGTTGTCCTCCCCGCCTCCTCCCTACTGCTCCGACCCCCCCGCCCCGCCCTCCGCCTGGCGGACGGAAATTGCCGAACTCAACCTAAGCGGAAAAATTGTCGATCTGAGGTTTCTAGTCCCTCCTGGCTTCCCGTTCTCCAGCCCGGCTGACGGAGTTAGCTGAGGCCGCCATATTGAATAGGCGACCCGGCTTCTCAGCGAGGGGGTGGACGTTGTGGTTTAGACAGTTCATCTAGGGAGCCTTGGCGGCTCCGGCGAGAAGGTGAGGTCGTGTTTGGGTGTGGAGGCTGAGGTGCTTCGGCCACCGGTTTATTTCTTGACAGGACTGTTTCCTTTGGCCCAGGTGACTCATTTTCCTCTTGTCCTTGACTGGGCGCCACCTCCCGTCCCGCGGTCTCAGGATCCCCTGAGCCGGCAGGTGAGGGCTGTTAGATATGGTCTGTGGTCTGATTGAAGCAGAGAGGAGGAGGAGGAGGATCAGAAGGTCCTCGGCAACGCTGGCTCGAATGCAGGCTTGGAGGCAATCTTCTCTGCAAGAAAGTGCAAGATATTCCCCTAACGGGGATGAGGTCGTTTTGTTCCAAGGGAGAGGACCTGTGTTAGGTGACTTAGGCCTAAAGACTGAGCATTTCTGCCCAAATTTCCACATACCTGGTACAGTACATTATTGGTCGCTATTACCTTAGCAATCGTTCACGCCTCTGGTTGTTATTTTTTAGTTTAGTTTTGTCCATTGACCACTTACGGATAGCACTTTTTATTCCTTTCACTGACGGGGCTGAGAAAAAGGATTTTTAAAAAGTTAGCTCAAGGTCGCACTGCAAATAACAAAGCAACGTTGTTTACAAGTTCTCAGGATCAAATGCAAAATTGTGGATCAGACAACTCTGTTCACACACGAATTGAGAGTATAGAAAATGTAACGCGAATTGTTTTTGATGAATGAACATCACGTTCTTTTGTTTTGCGGAATGTTCTTGTTTTCACCGAGTTGTGCATCATTAAAATGATCTCTATAAATAACGACCAGAGATTGGAGATTCAGTTCACTTAACAAATAGTTATTGAACAACTCAGAAATGAGTCCATGAAGAAGAATAAAATGGGTACTATGACCGGGGAGTAGTCACAAAATTTTAGATAGGCTGGTCAAGAAAAGTCTCCTTGAGAAAAGGCTTTTATGCCACTGAGGCCACCGCTGAGGGAAAGAGGGGAGGAGGGGCTGTGTGAGAACAGCGCGGAAGCCCAGTGACCTGTTAAGAGGCTATTGAAATAGTCCAGGTGACAGGTGGTAGTATCTTGGGATAGGATGGTACCTTGGAAGGAAAGAAGTAGATGAATGCAGGATGCATGGTGGAGGAGGTGCAGTAGTATATATGGAAAAGTGTCCAATCTCCTTTTGGAAATGATTGGTCATTAACATTATCTAATAGAGATAATTATTTCCATTCCTACTTGGTATATAACTGTTCGAAGCACGTATCAAAGTGTTGTAAATCTGTATTTCTTGTGTGGGGGTTATACAATGTTCCATTTGATGCTGGATGTCAATGGACAGCCTCGTTCTGATTGATTTTCTATCTAAAGTGGACACTACTTTTGTATTGGAGACAAAATAATAGTACTAAAGTTTCAAAATTGTGTAAAATACTGATTGTTGATTTTGAATCCCTTAGTGCTTTAATTCAGCAAATTCAGGTTTACCTTTATATTTGCCATCAACAGTTTTTAATAGGACAAATGCTACTCATTCTGGAATTTAGCAATAAAACTATTAGGTGATTATTTTCATAAGATACTGTATTAGGTTTTCAGAAAAGGGAAATGACCAAACTCCTTATCTTCAAGGAGCTTACTGTCTAGTAGGTACTGAAATTGATTACTAACCCACAGTTTAGTAAATGGAACAACAAAAATATATACACTATGTGCTGGTAGTAAAGAAAAGGAGCACAAACGAAGAGCTCTTTAAAACTGATTGTCGGCCGGGCACGGTGGCTCACGCCTGTAATCCTAGCACTCTGGGAGGCCGAGGCGGGCGGATTGTTTGAGCTCAGGAGTTCGAGACCAGCCTGAGCAAGAGCGAGACCCCGTCTCTACTAAAATTAGAAAGAAATTAACTGGACAACTAAAAATATATAGAAAAAATTAGCCGGGCATGGTGGCGCATGCCTGTAGTCCCAGCTACTCGGGAGGCTGGCAGTAGGATCACTTGAGCCCAGGAGTTTGAGGTTGCTGTGAGCTAGGCTGACACCACGGCACTCTAACCCAGGCAAAGAGAGTGAGACTCTGTCTCAAAAAAAAAAAAAAACTGATTGCCAGTGGCCAGTAGTGCCTAAATTGACTTCAGCTTTAACTGTCATTTATTCAGCTCCTACTAATAGCACATAATCAGGAAGTATTGTTTTCCTCCTGCTCTATAAAGAACCATACATTGTTTACCAAAAATCACTCACTAGTAGGTAACAGATTTGATATCTGCAAATTCAGTATCACAAATTATTAATGAAATTGATGAATTAATGAAAATAGTGAAGTCTGAATTAAGTTTCCTATTATATATTACCTATGATAAATATGCAGAATTTTGTGTTTTTCATACATAAAACTTAAGTATATATACTATTTTCCAATAATGCTGCAACTATTTAAACTTTTTTGTTCAAATTTTTTATGTTGATACATTCTAATTATATAATTTGCATTTTAAATACCTTTAAAAGTCCAAATGATTTTAGATGCTTAGCTGGTATGATCAAGTGAATAGACAAAAAGTTCAGTACTTAGCCCATATGGTCAAGTCAATGGACAAAAAAAACCTATGAAATTTCAGGTAACTTTTCTTTCTGTTTACTTTATGTGTCTCTAAGTGGTGGTGTTTATGTAATCCACTTTCATTTATTTCAGTAATTCAGCAAACCTTTTAGAGCAGACTGTTTCACCTTCAGCCTTATTGATACTTTGGATAATTCTTTATTGTGAGGGGACTGTCCTGTGAATTGTAGGATGTTTAGCAGCACCCTGCCGTCTACCCAGTACCTGCCAGTAGCTTGCCCCTTTTATATAACAACAACGAGTATCTTCCAGACATTATGAAATATTCCCTTGAGTGCAAAATTGTCCCCAGTTGAGAACCATTGTTTGAGAGCTCACTGTGTGCTAGCTTTTTGGGTAGGTATTGTAGATAGATTCAAGTTCACATGGTAGTGAGGATAGAACAGGCATATAAACAGATAATTACAAATCTGTAAGATAAATACTACTCAGCACAGAAAGTAGCACTCAAGACACCTTGAAGGCTTTGGCTTTTGGGCTATCTCAGAATACCTTAAGCATTTAGTAGATAACTGTGCTTAGAATTTACAATGATAGCATGCATATTGATAGGAAATGAAGATAGGAAATTTTGCTTTATTTTACATAGCCATTAATGATAAACTCACTGTTAGTCTTCTAGGTTATTTTATTATATGGTAGTGTTTTAAGTTTGATCCTTTCTTTAGAGTTAAACCAACAACAAAACTTTATGTAGAATTGGAAAGTCCAAGTTTATTCAATAGCTACTACTCCTTCGCTCCTTGACATTGTACAAGTCAGTTAATGTCTCCTAAGACTGCGTATTCTCATCTACAGAATTTGAGGGAATATATCAGGATTTGTGAATATTCAATGACATAATGTATGTGAAGTATTTTAAAGCCATGAAACATTACCAAAAAGTTTGTAGGTGTTTTTTTTTCCCTACACTAATATAATTTTTCTTTCTTTTATTTTTAGCAATATGTTAAGGATACCTGTAAGAAGGGCCTTAATAGGCCTTTCTAAGTCTCCCAAAGGATGTGGTGAGCATTTTTTTAAATTTACATTTGTGAGTATTAGACTTTATCTTTTTGAATTCATAGGTCTATGGAATATTTCTTCAAAAACTCTAAACCCATAATCTGTTTCAAATAATAGAAACAGATGATCTAAGTTGAATAGAATAATTTTCAATATATAATTTTACATTAAACAGTTTACAGAAATAATTATGGAATAGAAAATATTAGGAACTACACATGATGTCAAAATGAAAAAAATCACATTCTGTTTTTAAAAAATGATCTTCCCACGAACATTTATTTTCAGTGATATCAAAAATTTCAGTTTAAACTGCTATTAAAAGACATCCTAGGCTGGGTGCGGTGGCTCACGCCTGTAATCCTAGCTCTCTGGGAGGCCGAGGCGGGCGGATTGTTTGAGCTCAGGAGTTCGAGACCAGCCTGAGCAAGAGCGAGACCCCGTCTCTACTAAAATTAGAAAGAAATTAACTGGACAACTAAAAATATATAGAAAAAATTAGCCGGGCATGGTGGCGCATGCCTGTAGTCCCAGCTACTCGGGAGGCTGAGGCAGGAGGATCGCTTGAGCCCAGGAGTTTGAGGTTGCTGTGAGCTAGGCTGACACCACGGCACTCTAGCCCGGGCAACAGAGTGAGACTCTGTCTCAAAAAAAAAAAAAAAAAAAAAGACATCCTAGACTGGGTGTGGTGTCTTACGCCTGAAATCCCAGTATTTTGGGAAGCCGACGGGGGAGTATTGCTTGAGGTTTGAGACCAACCTGGGCAATATAGCGAGACCCCATCTCTACCAAAAATTTAAAAAATTGGCTGGATGTGGTGGCATGAGCTTGTAGTTCCAGTTACTCATGGTCTGAGGCAGAGGGATTGCTTGAGCCCAGGAATTCAAGATTACAGTGAGCCAAGATCATGCCACTGTACTCCAGCCTGGGTGACAGAGCAGGACTGTCTCTATTAAAAAAAAAAAAAAAGACATCCATACTCTGTTTGGTTTGAGGATTGAAAAAGCTTTTCTCTAATTCAATATTTTAAAAGTTTGCATTTGGAGAAATAAAGAAGAACAGCATAAAGTGAAGAAAAATTTTAGGCTTGTAGATAGCCTATTATTTTCCACTATAATAAATTCAGCTCTTGTTTTTCACCTCAATATTTTTGATGGTCAGTTCGAACAACTGCAACAGCAGCAAGCAACTTGATTGAGGTATTTGTTGATGGTCAGTCTGTCATGGTGGAACCAGGAACTACTGTCCTGCAGGTAGGGATACGTTCTAATTCTTTATTTTGTGTGTCTGTGTTCTGCTTTTTTAAAAAATGCCAATTCATATCCTTTATACTGTCTGTTTTCTTCTCAAAAAGAACTACACATAGTAAAATTATATGAAAATAGTTTGATTTTAAATCTGGGCATTTGAAAGTGAGCTGTCATTTATCCTTTTCTGGCATTCTTGGTGAACTATGGTAGTTCTTTTCTTTCACTTTTGCCTTCCAAATGAATACCCGTTGAGAAATTCGAAGTTACCTAAAATAAATTATTAGTTACTGTAGGTAAATTTATGAAAAAGTAACTTTAGTTTGTTGTGGGTCTGCTTGATGGTTTTCACTTTCATGTAACCTTTCTGTTTTAGTAATATTTGGAAGAATATTTGTAAGAATTACAAATCAAGTGGATGGAGGGTAGTGTGTTCTTGAGTTCATGCTCTAAATATGTAATGTCTTCAAATTCCTCCAGAAATAACAAATTTGGTCATGGGGAAGTGATGCTTCATTCCATCTGCAAGTTATCACAGAGCTAAATGCCTTTATTCATTTCAGCAGTTATATCTAGACTATTTTCCAGGCATAAACTTGTAAGCATGAAGTATTATATAACAAAAGTATATTCAAGGTACTGTGGAAAGTATTGTGGCAGGGATAGAAGGTGGTAGAAAGAGATGTCAGGGGTGTCTCAGGTGATCCATGAGGAGGTTTTAAAGGATGAATAGGTGTGTTTATTTGTGAACAAAAAGGACATGTATTTCCTATGGAAAAATAATTAGCTAGAGCAAATAGCTTGTTGTATATAGAAAGCTTCAAATAGTTTAGTATTGATGAAACATAGGATATAAGTAGATGAGATGATAGTAAATCAAGTTATTGAGGAAGGAAAGGTCCAGTCATGAAATAAAATATCTGCCATGTAAAAGAGCTTATATTTTGACCCATCAGGAGTTTTGGTGGCTATTAAGCAGTGTGACAGTGACTGTAGAGGATGATGGTTTGGAGAATAGCAAGACTGGAATAAGAGACAAGGAAAGAGTATTTTATATTAGTGAACAGGAAATGAAAAGTCCTTAAACAGATAGTGGCAATGGGAATGAAAACAAAAGGGTAGATTCAAGGGAGAATGAGATGTAAACAGGCCTTTAGGAATGATGAAGAGCAGAGGAATTTTTTTTTAATTGTATATAATTCCCCACTATTGCTTTAATGGGGGAAAAACACAGAGGAAGTTTTCAATAGAGACAGAGAGAGTTTAAAATTCAAAGTGAGTAGAGGAATTTCTGTGGTTTTCTGGCTTTGTTAGTTTATTTGGGAATGTCTGTAGGGGACAAAAGTAGGTTGAATTTAAGCTGTGTGTGGAACATACACATGCAAATGCCTGTTGAAATCTGCAGCCTTGAGAAGTGAAAGACTATCAGGGCTGGAACGAAGATTTTGGATGTAATCATCACATGAAGTGTGAGCTAGTATGAAGCCTAGGTGTCTGTCTTGTGTACTGCTATACCTACTGCATTTAGCACAAGGAAACACTCAATACATTTTTGCTGACTAAATAGTTAAAACATTGGAAATTAATGAGATTGCTTTAGAGTGCGGCTGAGGGTAGAAGAACTAACTATAGAGGAAATTTGAACATGTTTATAGGCTAAAAAAAAAAAAAGGAGGAACTTGCAGAGAAGGAGGGGTGGTAATTGGTAGAGCAGGGCTAATCCCCCTTACACAGGAGCTGGGAAGAGCTTCAGCCACAGTGGGAGTGTGAATCTTGGGTTGGGTATATGGAGCCAAAGATAGATCATAGCCAGCTGGATAGTGTGGAATGAGTCTTTGATCCGGCAGAGGGTAGCGAGGCAAAGAGGAACTACAGGTATGAGACCACTGGGACAGAGTTTGAAGGGACATTGTAGGCAACAGTTCAGAAGGGATCTGGGAAGTCAAGTCTTCAACACAATCCAATGATACTTCTTCTATGTAAGTGGAAGGCATGCTGAAAATTCTTAGATCCTCTGAGGCAGCTTCTAAGCAAATGGGTTGGGGTCAACAGCAAAGAAGAAGGGAATTCTCTTCAGGGACTGAAGTAAGAATGAATAAAGATATTTAGGGACAGGAGTAATAAGATGGCCTCGTGTGTCTGTGTCTGTGTGTGTGTGTGTGTGTGTGTGTGTGTGTGTGTGTGTGTGTCTTTTAGCAAGAACGGGGGGAGGTCAAATTGTTCTGATGCAAAAAATGCTTTACTTGTCTTCTAGGCTTGTGAGAAAGTTGGCATGCAGATCCCTCGATTCTGTTATCATGAAAGGTTGTCTGTTGCTGGAAACTGCAGGATGTGCCTTGTTGAAATTGAGAAAGCTCCTAAGGTATTTGATACCTAAAATTCTATACTATGCTGTAGAAGGTAGAGAACACTTTAAATCTTGCAACAAACTTTATTTAAAAATCAATATTGTTGTAGTGGAGAACCTAGCCCTGTTTACTTCTATCTATAAACAAAGTATTTTTTGTGTGATTGATTCTCTTCATTTCAAAACTAGAAAAGCATTGGTGGAAATGCCTTATAAACACAAGTGCCATATAATTGTAACAGATTTAGAAATTGAAGGTGATTTCTTATAGCTGTCAGTATTTCCAAATGACTGTATGACATGCAACATTAGAAGTGCTGATGCTGGCCAGGCATGGTGGCTCAGGCGTATAATCCTAGCCCTTTGTGAGGCTGAGGTGGGAAGATCTCTTGAGGCCAAGAGTTCGAGACCAGCCTGGACAACATAGTGAGACCCCAGGTCTACAAAAAATAAAAAATTAGCTGAGCTTGGTGGTGCACACCTGTAGTCCCAGCTACTCAGGATGCCGAGGCAGGAGTATCTCTTGAGCCCAGGAGTTTGAGGTTGTAGTGAGCTATGATGACACCACTGCACTCCAGCCCAGGCAACAGACCAAGACCCTGTCTCAAAAAAAAAAAAAAAAAAAGTGCTGATGCTATGCCATTTTCAATAGAGAAAAGGGTTGCAGGGAAGAGGTTCGCTTTCTGTAGTTTAATTATAGTTTTGCATATATAATTTTAATTCACTAGTGCCTGTTAAGCAAAGCATAGTTCTTTGATGTTCTGTTTCAGAGCAGAATAAAAATTTGCACTGAGGGTTAGGCATGGTGGCACACGTCTGTAATCCTAGCATTTTAGAAGACTGAGGCAAGAGGATAGCTTGAGGCCAGGAGTTTGAGACTAGCTTGAACAAAAGTGAGACCCCATCTCTACACAAAATAGAAAAATTATCCCAGCCTTGTGGCACATGCTTGTAGTCTCAGCTACTTGGGAGGCTGAGGCGGGAGGATCACTTGAGCCTAGGAGTTCAAGGTTGGGGTGAGCTATAGCTATGATTGTGCCACTACACTCTATCCTGGGTGACAGAGCAGAGTGAGGCCTTATCTAAAAAAAAAAACAAAACCCCAAAAACAAAAGAAATTGCATTGACTATTAGAATAAACTTAAGAAGTAGGATGTTTTGTTTCAAAGAGAAATGTGAAGTGCCAGATTATATGATAAATATGAGAACTTTAAAAATTTAGTCTTAAAGAATACTGTATTTGCTTGTTTTCAAATGTATAACGCTTTTATGTAATTTAACATTTTTATATATTGAGTTGCTTGTAATTACAAATAAATAAATACAGATTTTTCCATTGAAATTCCAGGTTGTCGCTGCCTGTGCTATGCCAGTAATGAAGGGTTGGAATATCTTGACAAACTCAGAAAAATCCAAGAAAGCCAGGTACTTTATTGTTACTCAATGTGGTAGCCTTACTTAGAGTAGAAAATTCCATATTTTGGTATTTGGACCTTTCTATAGATGAAGAATTTCATGTTAAACTCTGAAGAAGTTGGTGTGCTTAGCTTCTAAGAGCAGTAGAAGTGAGTACTACATAGTAGAGGGCAAGTGAGGACTTTATGGTATTGAGCCTAGGATGGGATCAGCATTAAAAATCTTTGTTTAGTAAGTTGCTCAATTTGTGATGAACCGTGAGTCTGTGGCTTATTGGGCTGAGATTATTTCAGCAATGTATTACTATACTATACCGGCACTGATTGTGTTTATTTGTTTTGTATTCATGTGTGTTTTTGTTTTTGTTTTGAATTAATGAGAATATTTTCTGAGGACCATTCAGCAACTTTTGATAATTCTATATGTCAAAAGTCATAATTTTCTAGATTCTCTGATACTTCACTCTAGACTCCTATAAGCATTTTCCAGATTGTGTGTTTGATACTACCAGAAAGATAGTTACATTGGCATCTCTGATAATAATGTAAAGTTAATACTAACTATATTAGAAAGTATACATCTGTGAAGGCTGTTTCCAGAGCCTACAGGTGAGCCATTTTGAGTGCCAACACTTCATGTCATTTTATATATTATAATTTTCCATATAGAGAAGGTGTGATGGAGTTCTTATTAGCAAATCACCCACTGGACTGCCCTATTTGTGACCAGGGAGGTGAATGTGATCTGCAAGTATGTACTCAAATTTCATAAATTTTTTTGGTTGTTTCAAGTTTTAATTTCATTAGCAGCAGTAGATTGACTCTTTCATAATCTATTTAAGGACCAGTCCATGATGTTTGGAAGTGATAGGAGTCGATTTTTAGAAGGAAAACGTGCTGTGGAGGACAAGAACATTGGGCCATTGGTAAAGACCATCATGACTAGATGTATACAGTGTACTCGCTGCATCAGGTAATATTTTTCCTTTTCCTTTCTGGTATATCATTGTATACTTATTTAATACTTACAAAATTTGGTGAATAACAACACTGGAAAGGATGGTAGGGAAGAGGGATGTTGTTATTAATGTTTTTCGCATATACCAATAAAATGAATAAGTTCACTTTCAGTTAATACCAATTTCAGTTGCATTTAAAAATTAAAATGTACAAGCATTCGCTCTGTGATAACTTGATAAGCTATACACATGATTTGTATAATTTTCTATTTTTGTGATATACCTCAGTTAAATGCAAATATTGACTGAATTATTCTTTATTCAGGGACTGTTCTCCCCATTGAAAATATCCTCATTTCTTTTTCGTGTTTTGAAAATCATTATCTCTTTATGATCATAAACAGGAAAGAAAATAATTTTGCTAGCCTTGACCATTTGACAGCACATTTTTATCTTGTAGGTTTGCAAGTGAGATTGCAGGAGTAGATGATTTGGGAACTACAGGCAGAGGAAATGATATGCAAGTTGGCACCTATATTGAAAAGATGTTCATGTCTGAACTGTCTGGAAATATCATTGATATCTGCCCTGTAGGTGCCCTAACCTCTAAGCCTTACGCCTTTACTGCCCGGCCTTGGGAAACAAGGTATTCATCTTTGTATTTTTCGACAATTTGTTTTCTGTCTTTAATTTGCTACTATTCAAAAAATGGTACATTTTGGGCTGAGCGCGGTGGCTCACGCCTGTAATCCTACTACTCTGGGAGGCCGAGGCAGGCGGATTGTTTGAGCTCAGGAGTTCGAGACCAGCCTGAGCAAGAGCAAGACCCCGCCTCTACTAA